CCAGAGCATTAGAATCAGAGACTACTTTGAAAATCATTATTCACTTCAATACCTAAGTTCGGGCATTTAAAAACAATTTTTTTTTTTTTTTAATTTTTGCGTCTTGATATATTTTGGTAAGCCCAAATGGGATATTTATTGCCTCTTTTTATTTTTCTTTCAGAAAAATATTCGCTTTTGGTAATCACTGCAAGTGAATAAAGACTTAATTTCTTTTTTCCAGGCATTAACTTCAATATTATCCCATAAACTATCATGAATGAACCTTGTGCATATTAAAGATCTCACATAACTTGAGATGAAGAGCCTTTCATTTGGCATGAGTGTGGCTGGCAAATGAGGAAGTGAACCAGCGCAAGCTCTAGCAAGTTTTCTCCTAAATGATGTGATCCTTTTTTTAAATTCAAAGAGTGATTCCAATTTTTTGTCTTCATTTAGATCCCTTTTCTGCAATAGCATTGTTCTGGTGTTTTTAATTCACATGCTAACATTTTTTTGTGTCATTTTACCTTTAGGTATCAGACAACCAACCATCCAATGTACTTTATGCTTTCTAATTACATTACTTCTTTGTAATGATCTTTGTTAAAAACTAATATCACTGGGGTACCTGGGTGGCTCAATTGGTTAAGCATTGGACTCTTGACTTCAGCTCAGGTCATGATCTCCTGGTTCATGAGTTTGAGCCCTGTTTTGGGGCTGATAGCACAGAGTCTGCTTGGGATTCTCTCTCTCCCTCCCTCTCTGTCCCTCCCCCACTCTCTCTCTCTCTCTCAAAAAATAAATAAACTTTAAAAAAAATGAGAAGAAAAAGTACTACTATCACCACACATTTCAATTTTATGACACAGCCATTATAAGATACAACATTGATTTAATAGATTTGGAAAAGAAAAAGACTCAATAAATGTATATATTTACTGTAGGATGAATCTTGACTTTAGAAGTATCAAGGTGCAAGGGACGCCTGGGTGGCTCGGTTGGTCTAGGGTCCAACTCTTGATTCTGCTCAGATCCTGATCTTGAGGCCCAATTCAGGCTCTGCCCTGAGTGTGGAGTCGGCTTGGGATTCTTTCTCTCTCCCTCTCTCTCTGCTCCCCTGCTCACACTTTCTCTCTCTCTCAAAAATAAATAAATAAACATTGAAAAAATAAGAAGTATCAAGGTATGAAGGCATGTGCCTTTTCATTAAGAAAATATGATCGTAGGTGCCTGGGTGGTTCAGACAGTTAAGCATCTGACTTCAGCTCAGGTCATGATCTCAAGGCTTGTGGCTTCGTGCACCATGGTGGGCTCCATGCTGACAGCTCAGAGCCCGGAGCCTGCTTCTTATTCTGTGTCTTCCTCTCTCTCTGCCCCTTCCCCACTCATGCTCTGTTTCTCTTTCTCTCTCAAAAATAAATAAAGGTTAAAAAAAATTTTAAAAGGGGTTCCAGGATGGCTCAGTCAGTTGAGCGTCCGGCTTCAGTTCAGGTCATGATCTCACAGTTTGTGGGTTCGAGCCCCACATTGGGCTCTGTGCTGACAGCTCAGAGCCTGGAGCCTACTTTGGATTCTGTGTCTCCCTCTCACTCTGCCCCTCTCCCACTCACGCTCTTTCTCTGCCTCTCAAAACTAAAGAAATGTAATAAAAAATTTTTTTAATTAAAAAAAAGAAAATGTGATCAATTAATCAAATGCCTCCAAACATGATGAATTCATGTCAGCTGTTGATATTATTTCCTTACATACATGATTGTTGTTGCTGCTGTGGTTAATTTGGTAACATGAGCCAATGTTTTCCACAACTGATTACTATGCTTGAGGAATTCAGAACTTGGTCGCAATCAAACAAGGTTAAGTGGTTAAGTGAGGTTTGTTGAGAGTCACATATACTTTAATTTCATGTGCTTTTTGGTCTTTTTAAAAATCTCATCAATTGTCCCAAGTTTTATATGACTTAAAAATTAATTTAAAAAGGCAATTTATATCAACCATAGGTAGAAATTATTTTATGCCAAAGAGAATGTGTAGAATCATAAGAATCTATATATTCTATAATCTCTAGAGTTCTCTCCCTGCATTCCAGATTTTACATGTGTCCCCCTAAAATCTCAAGCTTGTAATATGAGACAGAGTTTTTCCTCTACTTTCCAGGCCCTCTTCTCTGGGAACTTCAGTTATTTAAAGAATCGTTTTTATGGTTTTACAAAAAGTGCTATTTTCCCATGACCTAAGGACAAGTAAAATTCTGTGTTGGTAAATCTCCCTTCCGTAAGCTAGGGGAGAGTGTCTGGTGTTCTGGTCTGTGGTCTTCAGATATGCCGTATTCTGAAGACCCCAAAACAGATGTTTTTCATCGTCACTGTAGTGACTTTTAAATAGAAAAAAAGAAAATATGACTTATGTATTGTATTTTTTGTTCTGTTTTGTTTGAAAATGTTCTTTGTACGATGCCTTGGCTTTAATATATGTGTTGTGGAACTAGGCACAACCCAGAACAGTTGGATATTTTGTTTCCCTTCTAGCAGTAGAACCTGTTTTTCCATAGTAAATAAGAAAATTAGATCTTTCATTCTCATCCAATTCAACCAAATTCAAGCAGGCACCTTTTTTAGAATTTAAGATGAGGATCCAGCATCTTAACTACATTCTCCAATCTATGGGATGCCAGGACCAAAGCTACTTTTGAAAGGAGGGAATCATAAAATTTGCCCCTTGTCAATTATATTTTCTAGAACTTCAGTAAAGTTGAACATTTATGTACAATGAAGTGCCAGTTGGGAAGTAATTGATGTTTGGAAGTAATGTGGGATCATCCAGAGTATCATTTCATGATACTTTGAAGCACTGCTTTAATATGTGGTGCCTTAATAGTCTAAAACAATTGTGAATGTCCCTCCGATTAGTTTTAACATTTAGTAGACTCTGAAACTACTGCCCATCAAATTTCTGCTCAACAAATGGCTTCTCTTTTCACTTTCATTTTATGCAAGTATGTAAATATTATTTTCTCAATTATTTTGCATTCTAAACAATTAATTCACTATGCACAGTGCACAAAGCAAACTAGCAACCACAAAAACCTGTATAAAATGTTCATTTGACTCAAAATGGTTCCAGCTTCTAGTTTCTAGTTAAAGAAGCTCCTTCCCAGGATTTGGTTCAGTTTTAAAACTTCATTTTCAAGAATTTTGACAGGACTGGGGCACCTGGGTGGCTCAGTCAGTTGAGTGTTCGACTTCGGGTCTGGTCATGATCTCACGAACTGTGAGTTCAGGGCCTGCGTCGGGCTCTGTGCTGACAGCTCAGAGAGCCTGGAGCCTACTTTGGATTCTGTGTCTCCCTCTCTCTCTGCCCCTCCCCTGCTCATGCTCTGTCTCTCTCTCCCTGTCAAAAATAAACATTAAAAAAATTTTTTTTTTTTTAAAGAATTTTGACAGGACTTTAACTCAAGATCCTTTACATACTTCAGTAAATAAAAGCCTTCGAATAGGTTACAAGAATAGAATACGAAATAATGAATTAAATGCATGACAAACGATACAGAAAAATCTCAAGGTATTTTATTTTTGGTTATGTAAAATTTTGATTATCTAACAATCTTCTGGAATAGCTCAGAAATACCTATACCTCCCCAAATGCACGGTTTTGTGGAATGTTAATGGATGTTCCAGGAGAAAAGGATTGAAAAGTGAACAAAATTTGGGAAGGGCTAACTGCTGTATCATTTTTGTCTCCACCCCTCAGTGCCAGTGTCCATTAGCACACAGAAGTCTGCGATACCCCTCAGTAAGAGCACATCCATACAATATAATAAAATACATTTGACTTTATTTAGCTTAGCATTTTCCAAGCTTTTTTGACCCCAGAAAGTTTCCTCTGAAGAATCCCAAATCCCAGTGTTCAGTGAATCCCCTCTTGTATTTTGAAGACATGACATCAAGTTTCTTGACATATTACATTAGTTATTTTGTAAAAAGTAATAAAACATATTCCTGTTCGGCAGTTTTAGAAAAGAAATCTCAGGCTAGTAAATAATCTTTGTAGTAAATATTCTAATAGTCTATATTATGTATAATTATATATAATATTATATATTATAATTATGATATATTATATAAAAATGTGCTATTTTACCTTTTGTCAGGAATTTTTAAGCACTTTAAAATTAACAGCCATGTACATGTATTTTCTGTATCCTATTTTATATAGTCATAAGTTTGTTTTGAAATTCACAATTATTCTAGCGTTTAAGTACAAAGATTATTATTATTTACACCGACATTAGTTTTTACGCTTCGAGAAAGGAGGGGCAGAGGTTCAGATAACACTGAATGCCTATTTAAGCATCTAAAATTATATAGACCCTTTGAAATTCAGTTTAGAAAAGGAGAATATTCAGTGCCTCTGCACATGAACACTCTAAAGCAATTTTGTTTTGAATTTTACAAATGTGTTTTCATAAATATTTTTTTTAATTACACAGCATTTGGCCAATACCAATATAATCATGAGGAAATGCTCATAAAGTTCCTAAAATAAATATTGGTAAACTTAGTAAGTATGACAAACTGATTTATCTTAATTAATGTAGTTAGTGCTGTCTTTTGTCTCCTAAATATAAAAGGGGAATTAGTCACAAGGTTTTGGGGGGCAGGAGAGAATAAATTCTCTTTTTTATGCTTTTCTTATGCTTATGTTCAAATGACTGTGGCATGCAAATTATATCTGACACTGACTTTAGTTACAAAATAAGAACTCTAAAACACGTGTGTTGTTGATTTTGTCAAGGTTCAATTTTTAGCATTAATTTTTTTCCTAACCTACAGTCACATGAAATTTTTGCACAGAGCTCCATTTCTTAATCTACACTTTCACTGGATTGCTCTATTCTCTCACGCTTTTATTTATTTACTTTTCTCTTTGGTCTGTAATACTGAGTTTAATCTTTCAGGTACCGAGTCTTTTAAGGCTGACTCATCAGTTCAGGGTGTTTTGTGTGTTCTCTCTTTTTTCAGCCTTCTCTTTTTGCAGGAGACTTCTCTTTTGCAGGACAAAGTCCTTTTCTTCTTGACTTTTTCTTCCTATTTCTTGTTTCAGATGAAGAGGAAGCCTCCACGCCTAGTGCCGTGCCTCCAGGTTAGGATGATTCCAACTCCTTACCCCCACTTTGTAATTTATTGTTAATTGACAATAAAGAAAAAGAAAAGGCAGAGAACCTTGATGAGACAGTGTGCAAAGCGGGGTCACCAGCGTTTGCCTCTGCCAACACCAGCAGGGAAAACTTGGGCTTTAATGGTGATTTTTTTTTTTTTTAAATGAAAGGAAACTTTCTTTGTGAAATAAATAAGATTAGTAAATGTTGGGTATGAATTTTAAGGACAAAAATGTTTTTCTTTCATTTCCAGCTATATGTCCTTGTTCCCTGTTCTTTAGATATTTGAATTCTTTTATTTTATTATTGTTCTTCTACTAATCTTCCAAACAAGCTGACTTCTATTTTTTTTTTCCCCAAGACAATTTCTAGTTTTTTTCCCCCATCATGAGGAGAGACAGGGTTTAGGGGAATCCAAGAAGGTTGGAGTCAGCTGTCCATTTTCACCCCTTGCCCTTGTATCATCCGAATCACACTTTCCTTTCAGGTGTGGGTAGTCGGGCCCTGGAAAGAAAAGATTCAGGTGAGCGCTCGCCTGCAGTAAGGCGTCCCGACCCCATCCTAATATAGTCACTAATGACCTCATTTCTTGAAGCTGTTTTAATTCTAATCTTTGTTTTATTCTGTTTGTAGCTTTTTTAAAAAAGCAATATTTTATTACAAATCTTCTTACAAGAAAACTAATGTATTGAGAAATGATTAATTTTGCATGACACACACACACACACACACACACACACAAATACAGGAATTTAGCCACACATATCACAGATTTGTTTGTTTTATTGTAGATATCATTTTTTAACATTTAGCAAATACAAAGAGATCAAGAAACTGAAAATCTCCATATTTGGGATATGCTAAAGTTAGAGAATAATTCACACTTCTCTAGAACTTTATTACAGTTTGTAAAAACCTCCAAATGTATCTTGTCAGCAGTCACTACAATTTTGTGAGGTCGTACATTCACTCGACAAATTCGTGTTAAGGGCTCACTACAATCCCACTGTGGGCCTCTAAAGGGACAGGCACTTTTGCAGGCACTTGTGGGTATACAAAGGAACAAAACAATACAAATTCCTGCCCTCTTATTCCAAATATGAATGGCCATAATTCATTCTTACCATGAATATCACAGACATTCACACGCACACGCACACACACACACACACGTAATCATGTAACTACATTGTATAACTTCATTGTGAAAATGATGATTTCTAAGGATAGCATGACTGATACGTGAAAACTAAAATAACTAAATGTACATTTCCTTCTTTTCAAGAAACATTAACAGAGAGTTGGCAACCCATGCATTTTTTTTTTCCAGTTACTAAGTAGCTGAAACTGAACTTCTCTGCGTTTAGCTTTTGGAGACAGAGGGAAGGGATGTCTACAGTTCTCTCTCCTGCCCTTCTTGCTGGAGTTGACCACTGATTAATACCAGCCTAGCACTTGGAGTGCAACCTAAAAAATGAAAATAAACTTCAACTTCACTTTCAGCTTCTCTCTCTTCATGGGAAAGCCTCAGAGTTGATTTTTCTTTTTCTGTTTTTCCCCCTTTGCAGGATGCACCTAGTATTCTTGGAACTTGTGCCTTCTGGTCATGATCCGTTACTTAATTGTCAAACTACCGCCTCATTTATGCAAATCCAGTGGAATCATCTAATCATATAAAAGCAAGGAATCTAGAAATATCAGGCTAGGTCTGGCCCTAGCCCTTCTCAGTTGACCAGCAAAGTGATTTTTTCCTTTAGTCTTTTCCAGTTCTGTTGTTGTATGGACGTGGCACATTATAGTCATTCACCTATTATGACACAGTTCTGCTTTAATATACTTCCCATCATTATTTATCTGTTAGGGGACAGACAGGACGGGGAAACTCTGGCTGCCAACAAACACAAAGTAACAACCTACCTGAAAAGTTTTACTATTTCTAGGAATTAGAAAATGTTCTATATGGAAGAGGCACCCCTTGTAAGAATGGGAATCTGTCACTCTACTGATGGCTCCAGGGGAGATGGATGGAAAGAATGATGTTATATTTATCCAGGTTTATTAGACAAAGAAAAGCTTCAGCATTGACAAGAACGACAAACCCAGGTAAGTCTGCCTAAGAAGGATCTGGCCCTGAAATGATCCTTTCCTTTCTTTCTTCTCAATAGAATGGTCTCTTGGCGAATCGCCTGCTACGGAGGAACAAGACAAGCAGAACGCCAATTCCCAGCTGTCCACCCTCTTCGTGGAGAAGCCTCAAACAGGATCAGTGAAAGTTGGTGAGTGCCAAGCATTAAATCTTGCTTTCCTGTTGAAATGGAGGTGAAATTCACACCACATGAAATTTACCATTTTAAAGTGAACAACCAGTGGCTGTTCGTACACTCAGTGCTGTGCAACCACCACCTCTATCTCAACATTTTCATCACCCCAAACAGAAACCATGTACCCCACTAAGTAGTTACTGACCATTCTCCGTCCCCTACCCCTCCCCAGCCCCTGGCTAATCTGCTTTGTCTCTATGGATTTCCCTGCTCTGGATATTTGGTGTAAATGGTATCACACAATATGTGACCTTTTGTGGCTGGCTTCTTTCCAATAGCATAATGTTTCCAAGGTCCATCCAAGCTGTAGCATGAGTCAGTACTTCATTCCTTTTTATGGCTGAATACTATTCTATCATATTTATATACTAGATTCTCATTTTTCTAACCTGAAATGGAGAGTGAAAGCTATCATTTTAGGAGCCTTTAGCACATAGTTGTTGAGTTCCTAGACTCAGGAGTCAGATTGGGTTCAAATCACTTTCCTCATCTGTAAAATGGGGATACTACCTGTGAGGTGCTTTGAACAATGTCTGGTGTATCTTAAAGCTCTGAGCCAGTTTTGCTGTCATTGAGGCATACTCATTCCATAAGATGATTACAAATCTGCACACACACCATATGATAACAAGTAGTGTCTCAGCAGAAACTAGTGGGATAGAGGGTTCACTTTGGAGACATTCATTCCAAAAATATTGATTACACACCTCCTGTTTTAGACACTGTCCTGAATACTAGTATAACATGTGAGAATTCAGAACTTACAATCTTTTTAAAAATTTATTTATTTATTTTGAGAGAGAGAGAAAGTGTGGCAGGGGCAGAGAGAGAAAGACAGAGAGAGAATCCCAAGCAGGCTCAGCACCATCAACACAGATTCCAAGGCAGGGCTCCACATAACAAAGCGTGAGACCATGACCTAAGCCAAAATTGAGAGTCAGATTCCTAACCAACTGAGCCACCTAGGTGCCCCAGAACTTACAGTCTTCATGGGAGGAACAGACAATGAGAAATTAAACAAACAGATAATCACAAAAGCCAAGTGCCATGAAGGAAATAAACAGGGTGGTAAGTTAGAGAGGACCTAGTGGTCCAGGAATTTTCACAAAGTAAGTTTTTATAAGGAATATATTGTGATCAGAACAAATGAGCCACCTAGCTGACTGGTTATATTCTAAAATGACCTCTTTCAGGTCTAGAATATAGAAGTACATTGCATGTGGATGGAAATATTTGTTCCCCTTGTATTTCTAGAAGACACCAAAGTGCTTGGCTGGATGCTAGGCTAGAATTTTTATGTCCTTAGGGCCCAAAAATCAATACAAATGGATAAGTAGTTTTATTTTGAAAAGATCAATTTTATTTAGTCACATTTAGTCATGTAAATCCAGACTTCCCATCATCTTGCCTAATAAAGAGGATGGAAAAAATCCATACATTTGTGAGGCTTTCCATTTTTATTTCATTTATACATGATAAAGCCAAACAAAAATTACTTCCTTATTAACCCATTGCTCCTTTTCTGCCTCATAACTTCAAAAACAGAACAAGTTGGAGTACCCTAAGAACTCCTAGGGCATGCATAAAAAATCAGGGCACCAGTCACATCACAGCCTCTGCAGGGCAATCCTGTGTAACTCCTTCCAGCTGAGAGCAAAACTAATGGCACTTTTTACGCCACAGTCTGAATTGCTTGTGCTTTTTCTAGGTGAAAATATCACCTTTATAGCCAAAGTCAAGGCTGAAGACCTTCTTAGAAAACCCACCATCAAATGGTTCAAAGGGAAATGGATGGATCTGGCCAGCAAAGCTGGGAAGCACCTTCAGCTGAAGGAAACCTTCGAAAGGCAAACCCGGGTATGGCCCTTATCTCCTGGCACAGGGTTCAGTTCGGTCATTCCTTCTGTGTCATTTTGAGGTTCAGCTTTGAGATATTTCAGCCCCAGAAAATTCTCTAGAGTTACCACTCCTAGTGCCTATACTTGAGCCTGGTTGCCCTGCTGTGCCAGAGGCTGGGGAGCACATTGACCCCCTCCTATGTTGACAGCACTGTGCTGGAGCTCCCAGATAAAAAACATTAAGCCAATGCTGAGGAATTTCAAAAATACCTGAGATGTGATAGCTTCTGTCCATTGACAAGGTGGGGCTGAAATATGCCGGATGCATTTTGTTGCAGATGTACACATTTGAGATGCAGATCATCAAGGCCAAAGAGAACTATGCAGGAAACTACAGGTGTGAGGTCACCTATAAGGATAAGTTTGACAGCTGCACATTCGATCTTGAAGTACATGGTAAGAAAGTCTTCTTGTCTGGATAGATGTGTTTTTTCCCCCCATGGGATGTGAGGGGATAGAGGAGAAGAGGGTCATTTAACACTATGAGATTTTGAAAATAAAGTTTTCTTTCAAACTGTGTGTGTTTCTGATTGTGGTAGTCTCAGCAAGCCTGCTGAGTTAAATTGTTATGAAGCAATTTAAAAATGGAGTTTCAGGGGATTTTACTGCTAGGTACCTCTTGTCCATGCTATCTGTATTCCTTCAATCTTCTGGATAAGGGGTGATGCCATTTGTTCTTCTACTGAATGTGCCTCTTTCATTGGGTCAACTTATTCCCACTCAAGTTTGGGGGATAATTTCATATGGTACCAAGGATGTCAGGATACCCAGGTGGAAGGGAGGATTTCTCTTCTAAGGACTAATGTCAGATGGGGAATTTCTCCATCCATATGTTCTGTGTGCTGCCCAGAGTGAATTTAATAGGGTAAATGTAAATGTGTGCATGTAGATTAGGAAAAAACCACTTCTATAAGTATACAAACAGAAAGGTGACTTGGCGGCAAAAATCATAAACTTAAGATGAATCCAAAGTGTGATAAAGCCACAAGAAACAAAGCTGGTGTAATTTAATACTGTGATATAACAAGTGGAATAGGATCTAGGCTTAGAAAATAACACTACTCTCGCAACATGCTATTTGTTCCACATTTAGAGTAATGTCTTTGGCCATGGGTACCATACATCAACCTGGTTCTCTTCTGGAGTAAGGTACCCAGCAGGATGAAGAACCCAGAAACCACACCCTAATCAGCTGAATATGGTGTGAACGAGGCCAGGCATCCATAACAGATAAATAGGGGAAGTGCTGTCACACGAAAGTGTTTCAGACAAATTAGAATCTAAAGGTAGGAGTTATGAGGAGGTGAAAAAAAAATTTCTTTTCACTTAACTTCAGCATGAGTTCTTTCATTAAAGCTATGTACACAGCCTGGAAAGAGTATGAAACCCCATTTCAGGAGACGCCAAGTAAAGCCTGGGTGATCATGGACGTGCTGTAGAGATTTCTGTATCAAGTGGGAATCTGGTCCTGAGCAGGGCCTCTTCAACCTGGCCAGGAATCTCTGAGAATCACCTGAAGGGATTTTGAAGAGTATTAATTTCTGGGTGCCTGTCCCTTATCTGGTGAATCAAAATCTCCAGCAAGGAGATCAAGAAGCTGATTTTTTTTTTTTTAATTCTTCAGGTAATTCTAGTGGAAAGGCAGGTAGAATGACAGCTAGATATGGTACCTCTGTAGTCCCCACATCAATTCTGTGTGAGGGAGGATGAGGTATGATGCCTCAACAGCTCAGCCATCCAGGAGGAGAGACATCCCCCACTCCACCTGGCGTTCCTTCCATCTGAGGAATTCCCACAGCCTGGAAAGGAACTGAGCACAAAATTGCCTTCTTAATGGGTATTTATTTTATTGTTTTCTTTCCTTTCAAAGAATCTACTGGGACTACTCCAAACATTGACATCAGATCTGCTTTCAAGAGAAGGTAACTTCAAAAGGGGAATGTAGGTAGCTTTGGTATACCGTGCAAGTGCAGGGTTTTCAAACACATATTCCCTTCCTCCACACTCTTGTCTTCCAGATTAGAGCACCTCTTCACTCTAGTCAAACATACTATGTATCCAAAGGTTAGTGTTCTAGAAAAGCTGTAGGTTTAATTTCAAATCAGATGTATACTGATCATTTTTTAGATTATTCTGGTCATAGTGAAGCTCCTATTTTTTTGAAAACACACTTTTAGTCTCTTCACGTGTGACTTTGTCCTTAATTACATTATTTTCCACCAAATGTCCAAGAAAGATGTATAATGATATAGCATCAGTTGAGTGATGTCAGAAAACTTTTATTTATATTGCTTTTCATCTAGAAATTGCTTATGGAGCCATTCTCCACAATTAAGTAGTGACTTATTGAAGTTAGCGCTATTTAAATATTGGATTATTAAACGAAAGACCACTGAGTCCACTAGAATAAAGAATACTGTAGAAAGGCAAAATATAGATACCCATTGGATTTATTTTGCAACTGCCAAGGCTGAAAAATTGGGGGTTGGGGGCATGGAAGAAAAATGAAAAACAAAAAAAGTTCCAGTCTACAGGAAATGTAACTAGCCCCTTCCAGACATTATCTTACTCTCTGTATTTAATTTTTCCATAGTGTAAGTTCATTAATGAGAACAAATATTTTGTTCTTCTTAAGACTGAATCCACTTAGTTTTGTTGATAAGGAAAATCATCCCAACCTATCATAAAGCAATGATTTTAGTCTGTTAATAAAAGTCGTATTTCTCTCCTAAATTATGAATAAATGAAAATTTTAATTACTTAAAATATATTTAATGTTACCTGATCAATAAGTTGTTATTTTTTTTAAGTCATAAGTTTGAATCCTATTACTTTCCTTCCACCTTCCCTTTCTCCATGATCAGCAAATGCGTAGGTCTAAAACTATGCTCATCCTATGAGCATAGTTCTAAGAGAGGGAGACATAATCTACTAAGTTTTATGCTTTAAAAGAATAGAAATGTGTTTTCTTCAAAAGGTCTTCTCTAAATACCTGCTATTAAAGAAATTTTGGGAACACATTATTTGAGTTTAATTCTTATAACTTACGTGTTATACACACTGTTTTTAAACCCGCAGACTCTTTTCTTAGAAACCATAACTAACATTTGTAAAGAGCAGGAAACAAAATCTTCATTAAAAAATTAAACATGTAAGTAAATATGTAGTGCCATTTAAATGTCAGCTCCATAGCTTCTATTTAGAGTTTCTATGAAATCATGAAGGTGGCTGCATGCCTAATTTAAGATGCATTTCTCTATAGGAAAGTATTCCTGGTAAAGGGATCATCAATAATTTAAAGTCAATATTTTGAAAAATACATTTGAAAAGGTATAAATATCAATAAGAAAATGAAAAGTTTATAATGATTTCCCTTTAAAACAGAAAGGAATGCATCTTTTAAAAAGCTCTGCACAAGTTCCATTTTTGTTATGTTGGTATCACATTATCTGATTCAACTATTGATGGACACAAAGAAGTTACCTTTGAATATAAGCTCTGTACTTATATATTTGACACTGGTATACTTCGTTCTCCAAGCCAATCTCTGACATCAATAACAGAGATCAGCAAAAGTCCTTTGCTTTTTACACAGGTATGTTTCTACAGCCCCCAAACTTGGAAAAACAAAGTACTTTGTGTTGCTTGGCTTAAGTGCATTTGTGTTACTCTGTTTTAACACAAATCCAAGCAGTTTTATATATGCAATCTACAAAAATGCGTCTTCTGAAATCATAGAGTAACACAAGCTCTTCATGTTTACTTTTCCACAAGTACATACCCCAAAACTTAAAATGTCACTTGTGTGAAAAGAAATAGTTTGTGTTGATTTAGTCCCATGACTTGTGTGCCAGTACAAAATTGCATATACGTTATATGTAGAGTGTTTGGGGGAAACTGTTGTGTATATGTCTCAGCATTAAACCCAGATTTGCTTTTTTTTTTTTTTTTTTTTTTTTTTTTTTTTTTTTTTTTTTTTTTGTTAATGACAGTGGAGAAGGTCAAGAGGATGCAGGGGAGCTTGACTTTAGTGGTCTCCTGAAACGTAGGTGAGAACCGAGCGATGGAGTGAGGCGCTGTGGCCTGGAAATCTTTTAGACACTCACTGAGAGAAGTCAAGTTTAAAGTGGATGTTTTTCGAAGAATTTCTCATTTCTTAAAACGTGTTTCGCTTATAGAATATAACACAGAGTCAACTAAGAAAGAGACAGAGAAACCACTGCATACTAATCTGCTAAAGATTTTAGTTGATGCTTTTTAACCTTCTTTTTAAATCTTTCATGAGTTTCACATGTTTTCTTAGTTGGGGATGAGGAGATCTGAAAACTGAGGCAGAAGACTTAAATACCTAGAAGCTTCTGATTTCTCTAATAATTTCTATCATTTCAAGCATGATCAAATAACTAGAGCCTCTATTCTCCTGCCTTTGATATTTTACCAAAAAATCAGTTCAGTTTCACAATTTTGGTAAAAGTCTGCAGGTGTATGTGTGTGTATATATATATATATATATATATATGTGTGTGTGTGTGTGTGTGTGTGTATATATATATATATAATGTTTTTAAAGGAAGACCTATTTTAAAATAGTATTTGTGATTGTATTTCATCAAATCTAAGACACCATTCATTTTAATATATGTGTTTTATAAATCAGCAAGCAATGAAAACATTGCTCCAAGGTGTTTATTATGACACACTATTGATTATAGGATACATCCTTATTTTAAAAATGTTTAGAAGTCAAAAAATACGCATTTTAGAGATAAAATAAATTAGTAAAATGGAAATAAATGTTTAGTATTATCAGTCACACTCCCTAACGTTGTTCTCTTACAATAAAATTTATAGATTTCATTATGGATATTCAGTACATAATGATTTTATAGGATTTCTCCCCATATATGCATATACATGATCATATAATGTATTATGTATGTGTTTTGTATAAAGCTATACATATTCAGATATTTATTATAGCACAACTAAAAGAAATTGATATTTGCTGAGATTTTATTTACCTACCAAATGTGCAAATAAATCATAAAACTATGATTCTAAATTAATAATATATAATATTGATATCAGTTTTCACTAACTTTTCAGGTTCACTTTTTATTACTTTTAGTGCTTTCTATGGTTACTAAAGAAATGTGTATAAATACACTTCACAACAAATTACAAGTAGAATAAAATGGACTTGTGTCTGTTCTCAGTTTAGTTGGATGGCTTTATTCAAGTCCTTATGAATGAAAAATTCCCCCAGGTCTAAAAGTTGAGGTTGAGAACAGAAATATTAACAGTATTGTTGATATTTAATAATTTAATAAATATTGGTAATTTATTAATTACCAGTGGATATTAGCCAATCAAGAGACGTTGGCAGTATCAAATATACCTTTCCCTCTTTGGCTACTTCAAATAATCATTAGTCTCAATAATATCTATTAATTCCCCAAATTTATTTAAAGCAATAGTATATGAAGTGACCCTAAGTGAAACTTAGCCTTCCTCACTTTACAGGTGAGAAATCAAAGACCAGACGTATCAAGTAACTTACCCCAAGTCATACAGCTAGAGACAGGGCAGGGACCTAAATCCACGTTTTCCTCTGAGGCAGCTCATTCCATATAAGAAATACCACACTGAATCTACTTTGGAAGTTGGTGCTTCAGTTTATAATACACATTGACACTGTAGGAAGACAAGAGATTTTTTTTCCTCCTGCAATCATTTACTCAACCAGGAAAACACTAAGTGTTTCCTTTGTGCCTTCTGTGTGCCAGTGCCTTCCAGTGCCTGGAATGCAGAAAGGGCTGTAATACACATTTGTGGGAAGGAAAAGGTGGTGGTAAAAATATGGATGTGGGTCTCAACTCTCCCAGTTACAAACTGCATGACTGGTCAAATTACATGTCCTCTCTGAGATTTGTTTTCCACATCTGTAAACGTGGAGAACAAAAACTACTTGAATCAAATGTAAAAAGCTGGCTCATAGTAGGTGTCAAATATTCACTCCCACCAAAAATGTGACATTTTCCTTTGAAGAGCCTTTATTCATAAAAAGACATAATACACACACACACACGTATCAATCAATCAAGATGTAATACAATAGATTATTAAACACCATGCTCTGATTAAAAAGGAAAAAAGAAAGAAAAAAGAATGACTACTAGTACTTTGTAGAGTCAAAGAAATCTAATTAATGATCAAAATTACTGAAGACAAAATGGGCAGCAAACATGTCTCCAGTTCTCACTTTATTTACATCCCCTAATTATGATTTTGACTCATAATTAAATTGTTAGCCTAAGACTATATTCATTTAATATACTATACTAATCACCATTATAACTTTAGAAATCATTGTGTTTTCCTACTAATTTGTGAATTGCATGTGTTTTCATTGTGACAATGACACCATTTCTACTCCAAGAGTGTGTGGCAAAATCCCTATCAAAATAAATATCTTTATATCTCTCTACAACATCTCTCTACAACAAAAGATCTCCTTGACCTGAACAAAACTGGAGTATTTCAAATAGACATTAGCTAAATTGGAATAAATCTATTAGGCAAAATCTTGTTATGGGATATTTTAT